TTTCCAGATTGCATGCTCAGCCGCTCATACACTGCTACTCTCATTTGCTGGGTAGAGCAGATAAAGCGAGCATTTTCGTCCTCCTCCACATCCTGCAGTTTCTAGCATAACCAGGCCAAGAGCTGAGGGTGCTCCTAGCACCACCAAGCCAAGGTGGAAAATAATAATAATAATAATAATAAATTTTATTTATACCCCGCCCTCCCCAGCTAAGACTGGGCTCAGGGCGGCTAACACCAGATATAAAACAATTGATTGAAATACAACTTAAAAAACAAGATTAAAATACAACATTAAAATGCAGCCTCATTTCAGTAGAAACTCAAAAACGTTTTTGGGGATGAAAATGTCAAGTCTTCACCAAGGCTAACTATCCAGACTGGTCCTATGTGGGCCAGAAAAAAGCCAGGGATGTCCCCAAATAGGAGTTCCATCACAGAAGGAAAAAGGAAAGAGGGGGAGGGGATCAAGTTGATTCCAAGACAAAAGCCAGGCGGAACAACTCTGTCTTACAGGCCCTGCAGAAAGAAATCAGAAAAGGGAACGTCAGAATGCAAGAGTACCCAGCTTGGGCCAACTCATTTTGGCAGAGAATCCCACAAGCACCTCTCTTTCCCTCTCTCTCTCGCCACACATGCACACACCACCCCCAGCAGTAAAAATGCAACCAGTATTAACGAAATATGGCACTGCTCTTTCATATAACACCTAGAATTAGCTGCCTGTGGCGGCCAGACCTCCTTCTGCCTAACAGTGAAGCTGGCTTGCTTGGGGCGCATCCTGTTCCGAGTTTGTAATCAATCACTGTTGCAGGAATTTATGTATAGGTTGGGGGGGGTGTTTGCCCCTCCAGCAGATATCATGCACATGCAGCCCACTACCAAAATCAGTGCAATCACTGTTGTGATTTGTCCCCATAAAACACTTCGTCGCAGTTTCTTCCTATCTATTCAAAGGGACTTTGCTGCACGATATCAAATGTAAGAATTTGCTGATCAATGTATCTGTGTACTGGCTCACTGGGAAAACTTCAGAAATTCATATAGACATGTGAGCTCAGCTCCTCAGCAGCCCCTCTGCCTGAGTGATAATTCCTGGCATCCTGATACCTGAGTGCCAGACAGGTAGCCATTCCAGAAATCACAAACCCAGATGAAGACAAAAGGGTGTGATGAACTTGGCTGGGAAACAGGGAAATGTAAGATCTCTTTTGTTCCACTTGATGGGTGTTTGGTGGAGGGCAAGGAGAACCATGGGGCAGAGTCCAGGATGCTCAGATTACTGCCACCAGACCTCCCCTTTCATGATGTAACTGTGAGTGTATGAGTGATGTAGTTTGGGGGTGTAACATGGGGATTAGCAGCTAATAAAAGTTTGGGTTCTCTCTTGTTCGGGGCTTCCACCTTTTTCCACCTTGTGGCAGGTGGGAGTCCTGTCACAACAGTCTTCAATCAAGACCAAGCCTCCTGGCTGCTCTTTTGCTCTGCTATTCCTGGCTGGTGTCCTTGTTTTTTGTCCAAGGGAGCCCTCAGATTTCTCCGTTAACATCACAAAAATGGGATGTGAGGGAAACTTGCCGAATCTGCATTTTTTAAAAGACGGACCATTAGGAAAGCCTGCTGAATCGGGCCCATGGCCCATCTAGTCCAGCACCCTCTTCTCACAGCAGCCAGCCAGATACCCCTGGGAAATCAGGAAACAGGATCTGAGCACAAGAGCAGCTCTCTCCTCCGGTGGTTTCCAGCAAGGGAGATTCACAAGCATTCCTGGCGCCAACTGCAGGGGCTGAGCAGAGCCGTCTTGGCTAGCAGCCCTCGATAGCCCTCTCCTCTTCCTCCAGGAATTGGTCTAATCCTCTTATAAAGCCATCCAAGCTGTCGGCCATGCCTGTCTCCTGTGGCAGGGAGTTCCACAATTTAACTCTGTGCTGTGGGAAGAAGGACTTTCTGTTCTCTGTCCTGAATCTTCCAGTGGTCAGCTCCAGGGGCGGAGCTAGCTGCTGCGGCACCCGGAGCGGCGCCCATGCTGTACACCCGGGGGCGGGGCTAGCTGCCCGCAGGGGTAGGGCGGCGATGTCACACCCCCCCTCCAGGGATGACACCCGGGGTGGGGCACACCCACTACACTCCCCTTTCTCCTCCAGTGTTCAACTCCACTGGATTCCACAAACAGAAATCCAAGTCAGCTGGGCATTTTATATATATATATATATATATGTATATATATATATACACACACACACACACATTTTTATTGATTTTTTTTATTGGACCCCTGACCATTAGTTCCAGTCACAGACGACTCTGGGGTTGTGGCACTCATCTCGCTTTATTGGCTGAGGGAGCCGGTGTACAGCTTCCGGGTCATGTGGCCAGCATGACTAAGCCACTTCTAGCGAACCAGAGCAGCGCACGGAAACGCCATTTACCTTCCCTCCAGAGTGGTACCTATTTATCTTCTTGCATTTGATGTGCTTTCAAACTGCTAGGCTGGCAGGAGCAGGGACTGAGCAATGGGAGCTCATCCCGTCATGGGGATTCGAACCACCAACCTTCTGATCGGCAAGCCCTAGGCTCTGTGGTTTAACCCACAGCACCACCCGCGTCCCTATATTGATGGTATCTAACACCAAGTACATTGGCAAAGATGTATAAATAAAAATCAAATAAGTGTTGGAAATGTAAAGAGAAAGAAGGTTCTTTTTATCATATGTGGTGGTCTTGTAGTTAGGTTAAAGCTTACTGGGAAATGATATAAAATGAATCGAAAAAGATGTTGAAAATAACATTTGTAAAAAACAACAACCCCAGAAGCTTTCCTTTAGGGAATTATAGGGACAGAACTACTCAAATTGTATAGAAATTTATTCATTTTTGCAACTATAGCGGCGAGAATGTTATTTGCCCAAAAATGGAAAGAAGAAGAAGAAGTCCTGACGAAAGAAGAATGGATACAAAAACTTATGGAATATGCAGAAATGTTGAAACTTGCCGGAAAAATAAAAAAAAAAATAACAAACCTTTCTTATAAAAGAATGGAAATGATTTATGGAATATTTACAAACTGTAGACAGATAAGAACATTGACAGGATTATTGTAATAACCTGCAGTTTTATAAGAGTATGCATTTAAAGTAGATGAATAAATGCTTAAGTTAATTTGGAATATGCGGAAAATATAAAAATAAATAAATTTAAGGAACCGCAGAAAGAGGGGAAAGGAAGATGAGTTTCGAAATGTTAAAATGATTGTAAAGTTATTGAAATGTATAAAATTGAAAATTATAATTTTTATTATTATTATTTGGGGGGTGGGGAAGGAAGGGAGGGAGGGCGGAATAGGCGGTATAAGAAACTACCATTTTCTCAGGATTCAGTGCTTTTCCTGATCCTTTATTCATGCTCAAAGGAAGAAGAGTTGGCAGAATCTGGCGGGCAAGAGCAGTCCTGATCCCCCCCAGAAAGGGATGAAGTGTTTGGCTTCAGTCCCGGCAAAATGCAATCAGTTTTTGACTAAGGTGAGGCTTCAGATGTCAGTTTCACAGTTTCAAATGGCCCTATTAGCGCTGAGCTAAGGTTTCACCTGTCCATCCTGACAGGTAGCCACCTGGCTCGTTTCTGAAACGCTTTTTAAACCATCTGCTGAGCTGCTGCCTTTAAAAAGACCATACAGTGGTCCCTTGGTTCTCAAACTTAATCTGTTCCGGAAGTCCTTTCCAAAACCAAAATGTTCCAAAACCAAGGCGTGCATTCCCATAGAAAGTAGTTCAAAGTGGATGAATCCGTTCCAGACTTTTAAAAACAACCCCTAAAACATGAATTTGACATGAATTTTACTATCTAATGAGACCATTGATCCATAAAATGAAAGCAATGAACAATGTACTGCATTCACACAATCTATCTATCTATCTATCAGTAGCTAAACTGGGTTCCACACAGTCACAAAAACAAAAAAGAGCCACAAAAACAAAAACCCAAAATAAATAGCAAAAACCTCAGCGTAACACTCAGATCATAACACTCAAAGCAGAAGTGTGGCATTCAAATTGGAAGCGTAACACTCAAAACAGAGCACGTTCGGCTTCCAAAAAAAGTTCTCAAACCGGAACACTTACTCCCGGGTTTGCAGTGTTTGGGTTCCAAGTTGTTTGAGTACCAAGGCGTGTGAGAACCAAGGGACCCTGTACAGTGGTACCTCAGGTTAAGTACTTAATTCGTTCCGGAGGTCCGTACTTAACCTGAAACTGTTCTTAACCTGAAGCACCACTTTAGCTAATGGGGCCTCCTGCTGCTGCCGCCGCGCTGCAGGAGCATGATTTCTGTTCTCATCCTGAAGCAAAGTTCTTAACCTGAAGCACTATTTCTGGGTTAGCGGAGGCTGTAACCTGAAGCGTATGTAACCTGAAGCGTATGTAACCCGAGGTACCGCTGTACTTAAATTGCTAAGCATCACAAGGTGAACCACCCCCTCAATGTTGTTTTCTGGGGCCTGCTTCTTCTTCCCGTGGCAAATTTCTCCAAAAGGAAGACGTGCGGATACGGTTGGCAGATTGATCCAGGACGGTCGCTTGGTGTTTTTTGTTTTGTTTTGTTTTGTTTTGTTTTTTGGAGCTTTTAAGTCTCTTTATTTGCTGCTCTCAATAATGTGCTAAAAACTAACCACCACAGGGATTATATATGCGCACGCGCACACACAGAAAGAGACAGACATACCAACCCAAATCACCCACCTTTCCCCTGATAGTCTTTTGGGAAATGCAGTGACAACTTTAAAACTGGAGCGGGTGAGAACTTCTTGCTACTTCATCCAACACATAAAGAAGCTGTTTATGCAGCCTCTGGTAAAGCCAGAGGATCCATAAGAGGTGTTGAGATCCCCCAGGGTGACTATTTTGTGCTGTGGTTGCTCAGCCAAGGCAGCCCCATGCTTGGATGATTCCAGAGTAGTGCCGCCACTGCAACTGTCCCTCCTGCACTCACTGGGGATGCCAAATGGGCTCACTTCACAGAGGTGCTGTTCTGCTGCTGCTGTTGCTGCTCTTCCAGGGCCTGCTGGAGACGCATGCGCTTGCGAGAGTAGTGCTGCCAGTGCAGGATCTGCTGCTCATCGATGAACTTGGCGCACTGGGCATTGACCAACTCTTTGCGGAAGTGCTCATACTGCAGCAGCTCCAGCATGTGCAGGCACTGGGGGTACTTTAGGTATTTGGCATACTCTGGTTCTTTCCAGTAGAGCAGGTGTTTAAGGTAGTTGACAAATGCTTTGTCCTTGAAGAATCCTCTCTGGGCAAGAAAGTTTAGGTAACTGGGGTTTGCCAGGCACTGCACAAACTCCAACTCCAGCTGGAAGCGAAGGCGATTGCCAGTATCATCACTCTCCATAACGACGACCGCAGCTTCCACGGCTTCTCCACAGAACAGCAATATCGGACGGTCGCTTGGTTAAAGATAATTTCAGGGAGACGCTGAGGCAATCTGCACCAAGGGGGTCGCTGGAGAGCTGAAGGGTTCGTAAATTAATTAATTTGCAACCCCCAGGCCCTCCCAGAACGGTCACAGCACTTTGCAGGGAGGTTTATAGTTTAAATTTCAACAGAGGAGAAAAGCAAATGTCTAAAAAGGGGGAGACTGGTATGCCTTGTTCTCTTTGCCAAAAGTTTGGGACTTCTGAGTTTGCAGAAAAGGCAGCTAAGAGGCAACATTGTAGAAGTTTATACTAGGATGCACTGCCATGAAGAAAGTAGATAGCAATAACTTCCCCACCTCACCCCCCTCTCATTACAAAAGAACTTCTGGACATCCAATAAAACTGAGTGTTTAAGAGTTTCTGGGATGACAAATCACAGCATTTCACCATCAGAAACCCCTTTTAAAAACCCCTTATCAGATCAGCACCATCTCTGTGAAGGCAGCAGGGCAGGGGGTGGGGGGAAGGAATAGGGGAAGGACAAGTGTTGGTGAAATTGTGTTAGCAACATCCATCTGCCACGGGAAACAGGCGGAAATAAAGCTCACGGCAGGATTGTTTCAGTGCCAAGAGAGTCCATTTAAGCCCAAATTTTGCAATTGCCCCAGATGATGCAAACCAGAAAGAGGGATGCCTGCATTTGCTCGCACGACATTGCCTCGCTCAGCCTTCTGGAAGGATGTGAGCTCTTCCTAATGTTCAAGCACAGTGTGACTTTCTGTTCATACAGTGGTACCTTGGTTCGCAAATGCCTTGGTACTCAAACAACTTGGAACGCAAACACTGCAAACCCGGAAGTAAGTGTTCCGGTTTGCGAACTTTTTTCAGAAGCCGAACGTGCTCTGTTTTGAGTGTTACGCTTCCGATTTGAGTGTTACGCTGAAGTTTTTGCTATTTATTTTGGTTTTTGGTTTTTGTGGCTCTTTTTTGTTTTTGTGACTGTGTGGAACCCAGTTCAGATACTGATTGATTGCGTGACTGCCGTACATCGTTTATTGCTTTCATTTTATGAATCAGTGGTCTCATTAGATAGTAAAATTCATGTCAAATTGCTGTTTTAGGGGTTGTTTTTAAAAGTCTGGAATGGATTCATCCATTTTGAACTACTTTCTATAGGAAAGCACGCCTTGGTTTTGGAACGCTTTGGTTTTGGAACGGACTTCCGGAACGGATTACGTTTGGGAACCAAGGTACCACTGTAGATTAAGCTTCATGCAACTCTGTATTCTGGGCTTGTGTCTGAGCCAAACCCCTGTTCTGTATGATGATTCCAGGTCATAAAATAATAGAATTGTCTTTTAAATGTGTATTCTGTATCTGACCTTCTTTAGTGATGTTTTATTTTCAACTGTTTTAATAATATTTGGGGGGGGGCTGGTTAACTTTGCTGCGTTAAATGTGCATTTTATACTTGACCTTACTGTGCAAAATGTCTTATTTGGAAATCTTTGAGATAACGTTTTAGTTTCCTGCTAATTATGTTGCTTTGAATGCATATTGCGTGTTTGATCTTCTTCAGGAATGTTTTATTTTGGAATGTCTTATTTGATTATTATTTTTTTAAAAATGTGGGTTGTAAACGACTTCAAGCTTTAAAAGAATATTATTACAGTGGAACCTCAGTTCTCGACCATCTCTGTTGATGAACGTTTTGGAACCCGAATGCCGAAAACCCGGAAGCGAAGGCTTCCGTTTTCGAATGCACCTTGGAAGTTGAACAGCCTCTGAGGTGCGTTTTTCAATCTTCACCATTGAAATTGACATTCTCCCTTTGCGCCTCAGTTGTCGAACGTTTCGGAAGTTGAACAGTCTTACGTTCGACAACTGAAATTCCACTGTACTAATAGTAAAGGGGCAAAGAAATTAAATTAATAATAATAATAATGTTGTTTAGTCGTGTCCGCCTCTTTGTGACCCCCTGGACCAGAGCACGCCAGGCACTCCTGTCTTCCACTGCCTCTCACAGTCTGGTCAAACTCATGCTGGTAACTTCGAGAACACTGTCCAACCATGACTGTCCAACCAATAATAGGGTTGTAAGGAACTGCAAGGGACATCTAGTTCAACACCCTGCAATTCAGGTCCCCTTTGCCCACCTTTGCCTGCCTTCCATGTGTCCACTGAGCCCCCCTAGTCAGATGACACCTCCCTCCTCTGTCACAACCCAGGCCTGCTTGGACAGGATCCGTCCCGCGGAGTCTCTGTCCTCTTACTCCTCCTGGCTCCCCCAGGCTTGCTTGCCCCCTCTGATCCTCCTCTCCATAAATGGAGGCAATCCTGAGCATCTTCCCCCAGGGCGGAAAAACAAGTGGGGAAGGAGCAGGAGGAGGAGAAGGAGGAGGAGACGGGAATGCAAAGAATGTCAGGCACACACAGCGCACAGCTCGTGTTCTGGGGGTGGGGAGAGCGGAAGACAGCAAAGGACAGAGAGAGAGAGAGAGAGAGAGACAGAGAGAGAGAGAGAGAGAGAGAGGGAGAGAGAGAGAGCTCCTAGCCACATGGACTATACCCTGCCCTCTGCAGTCGGAGGCAGAGATGCTTCTGAATGCCAGTGTAATAAACTTATGGGGGACACAAGAGTCCTTTGCAGGTTCTCCATCAGTGGGAGAAAATAACAGAGGCCAACCAAAGAATATTGAGAAGCAAAGCAGCTCGTAAGCCTGATCTTTATTGAACTGTTGCAACAGGGTGCTCCCCTCACACGCAGGAGGAGGAGGAGGACCCAGAACCCAGGTGGGCCCGCCCTTATATAAACATTTTAAATTGCCCGCATTGGAATCCAAGACCAGAAACATCATACCTACATCACAGAAATGGTGGTCTACAACAGAAATCTGAGTGCTTTGTTTATCTCCTGTCTGGCAGGTTACCTATTAATGCTCACTTGATTGGATACCCTGGGGAGCCTGACCAGTCTTTTGTAATGATAAATACTTAGTTCCTGAGCCAGGTCACAGGCTCACCCTATTCATACACAGTCATACCCTCAAGACAGGTTTTGTGAACGAAAAGACAATGGGGAGGCTTTTCCATTTTCCTTTGACCTTGCAGAGAACATTTGGTCAGTTTGGAAATCAAAAATGGTTCCAGAGCTGTTTTCCTGTGCTGCTTCAGACGTGTGGTTTATATATTTATGTACATGTTTGCTTAGTACATTTATGAATATATATATATATATATATATATATATATATATATATATATGACCTTTTTTTTATTTCACCAGCTGCTGGAAGCCACTGGGGTCCTGCTTGCAGAAATCCCAAAACAGGCACCTGGTTGGCGTCTGTAAGAACAGAATGCCAGCCTGGACCACATGAGCCACTGGCTTGATCCAGCAGAATCTTCTTACGTTCCTATGGAACCTCTAGGTCCAGGGGCAGTCTATCTCCATTCCTAAGTTCCTAGGGTGCTGGACTGGGGGGCCATTGGTCTGATCCAACAGGCTCCTCTTATGTTGTTATGACTCTTCCCTAATCTGGGAGGAAGAGGAAGAAGAAGAAGTCGGGGCAAAGGCCAGCAGGGGAAGCGTAACTGAAGCTGGTTTTTCTCGGTGCCCAAAGAGACCTCTCTCTTTCTCTTCTCCCAGGGACTTTCCAGCTGAGCTGTTCTCCTTTTCCGCTTCATAAGCCCCCCACCCCTTCCCCTCTCCTGCCCAGGCAGGCAGCCTCTCACTGGTGCAAAAGGGCACAGGTTCCCACCCCCTTTCTGAACACACCCTCTCTCTGGAATGATGATTATTCCTCATTGACCTTCTACCGGGATGGCGAAGGTTCTGGCGATTGCATCCATTTTTGGAGAAAAGGGGGAGGCAACTGGGATCTCAGGTTTTATCTCTGTCGGCCAGAGCTGCTAAATCAGCAAAACAACAAGCGGAGGAAGATTCTGTTACTGCAAGTGACTGTGGTTTTTCTAGTATTCCCGGGAACCATATTTATGTGATAAATAGGGAGACAGAGAAACAGATAGATAGAAAGAAAGGATATCTCATTCATACGCACTGCAAAAAAAAGTCACCAGCTGTAGTTTCTCCATTTAATCATCCTTTGGCTGCTTCACTATATAGTTTTCCCCTTCTGTTTGTCCTCCAGGCAAAATACCATCTATTTTAAGCACACGGCTTCTTTCCCCAAAGAATCACGAGAACTGTACTTTCCAACTCTTTATTTTTTACACTTATACTCCACCTTTCCCCCAATGAGCTCCAGGCGGTGTACAGGATTCTGAAGGGGTTTGTTTTGCAAAAGCACAAACAGCTAGTGGGACTAGTTCCTCCTCAAAATGAACTTTTCAACACTGGGTGGATCTCAGTTTGCCTCACTCTACTTCTCAGCTGCTCATTTCCAGAAATCTCTCTCAGTTTCTACAAACCAGCTACAATTTTTAACACACGTATGACTCATTGGGGCTGAGCGAGGCCGTCAGACCGCATCTTCCCTGATCACAGTATTTTTCCGAGCTTTTGACTCTTCGTCTCTGCAGTCGGTGGCCATGAAGGCTAGAAACTTAGCTTTTAAAATGAAGGGAAGCTGAGACGCTCAGGGCTCTGCAGCTGCGGCGTCTCAGAGAGACAAGTGCATGTTTTGAAAACACACATCCTGTTGTTAAAGGGTGGGCTTCTGCACCAGGCAGCCCATAACTCGCTCGACACTCCCCTGTTTAATAGACTATTGTATTTTAATATTCTGTTGGAAGCTGCCCAGAGTGGCTGGGGAAACCCAGCCAGATGGGCGGGGTATAAATAAATTATTATTATTGTTGTTGTTGTTGTTATTATTATTACTACTACTACTATGCAAAGTGACCCTCAGAACAATGGAATACAACGTACAAGTTAAAAACCATTTTTAATAGATGCAATTGTTTTATATCAGGGGTCGGCAACCTAAGGCCCATGGGCCACAAGCAGCCCACG